ACTATGGCCAAGCAGCTTGGTGAGAAGGTGACAACAGTTGGTGCAATCATTCACAAATGGAAGAAACACAAAACAAGTGTCAGTCTCCCTAGGTCTGGTGCACCATGCAAGATCTCACCTCGTGGAATGTCAATGATCATGAGAACAGTGAGGAATCATCCCAGAACTACACGTGAGGATCTTGTCAATGATCTCCAGGCAGCTGGGACCACAGTCACCAAGAAAACAATTGGTAACACACTACGCCGACAAGGACTGAAATCCTGCAGTGCCCGCAAGGTCCCTCTGCTCAAGAAAGCCCATGTCCAGGCCCGTCTGAAGTCTGCCATTGAACATCTCAATGATGCAGAGGAGGACTGGTGGGAAGTGTTGTGGTCAGAGGAGACCAAAATCCAGCTCTTTGGCATCAACTCAACTCACCATGTTTGGAGGAGGAGGAATGCTGCCTATGACCCAAGAACACCATCCCAACTGTGAAACATGGTGGTGGAAACATTCTTCTTTGGGGGTGTTTTTTCTGCTAAGGGGACAGAACAACTGTACCGCATCAAAAGGGACGATGGACGGGGCAATGTACCATCAAATCTTTGGTGAGAACCTTCTTCCCTCAGCCAGGGCATTGAAAATGGGTGGTGGATGGGTGTTCCAGCATGACAATGACCCAAAACACACGGCCAAGGCAACAAAGGAGCGGCTCAAGAAGAAGCACATTAAGGTTCTGGAGTGGCCTAGCCAGTCTCCAGACCTTCATCCGATTGAAAATCTGTGGAGGGGCTGAAAGTTCGAGTTGCCAAATGTCAGCCACCAAACCTTAATGACTTGGAGAGGATCTGCCAAGAGAAATGGGCCAAAATCCCTCCTGAGATGTGTGCGAACCTGGGGGCCAAATCCAGGAAACGTCTGACCTCTGTGATTGCTAACAAGGGATTTGCCACCAAGTACTAAGTCATGTTTTGTGAAGGGGATCAAATCCTTCTTTCCCTCATGAACATGCAGATCAGTCATCATTTGTTAGACGCATTTCTGCTGAATTTGTTGTTGTATTCTGTCTCTCAGTGTTACACCGAAACATTCCATTGTTATTGACCGATCATTTCTGTGTGAGGGGCGAACATTCAACATCAGCCGGGGAGCAAATATGCTTTTCCTTCACTGTATGTGTGCTTAGAGCTACAACCGGAAACCAATTGATCAGTTTAATAATGAAATATAAGGGGCTGCCACTGACGACCTCTTCTTGGCTGTCATGTTTATCCAACGGCTTCCATACTTTCTTCATTTTAACTTGAAACAAGGAATTCTGACTGTTCATTTGCAGTATGTATGTATGTCCCAGCCAGGCAGGCACATATTATCCTCATCAAGATCATCAATGGCAGCCCATATATTTCCCTTATGGCGGGGGTAGGTAACCATAAAGAAGTGAAGATCTACCTGAACAACACGGGAGAAGTCAAAGATCACCGGGTGTCACCACCTCACACCCGATTTAAACCTTTAATTGCTGTACTACCGTATTGCACGGCAATCATGAGTTAAAATCAAGTGGTGAGGAGGCTTCTTTCACATGACAGGTGCTACACCCACCAACCATGGAAGGATGTAGAACTCCAGCTGCAGCATGTGTACACCCCTGGCCATTGCAACTAAAGGGGGGTGCAGTGGGGGTGGTAAAAACATGTCTTAACTATGGGGTTTTACCACCCTCCAAACTGCAAATTTAAAATGAACCCTTACTTTTCTGAGCCCCTTACACCCATACGGAAGAAAAATATATTTGAAATATATTTGTAAAATATTCTTCCCAAATATATTGACATATATTTGAAATGCTACAATTTTGACCATATTCAATACATTTCAAAAATATAGATTAAAAAAAATAAAAAAAAATTATATAAAAAATATATTAAAGTTGTTTGGTAATTATATTCATGTTCATGCACCCTGAAAGTCCTATCTTCTCTATTGAATATTTGCAATAATAATAATAATAATAATAATAATATGAATACAATATACAATAAAACAAATATGAATAATAATAATGATTATAATATTAATATTATCAATATTATTTGTTGTATTGTATTATTTAATTATGATAATAATAATAATATTAATATCATTAATGTTGTTATTGTTATCAATATTATTTGTTGTATTGTATTCCTAATAACAATAATAATAATATAATTATTGTTATTGTTATCAATATTTGTTGTATTCCTGATGATAATAATATAATTATTGTAGTTATTGTTATCAATATTTGTTGTATTGTATTCCTGATGATAATATAATTATTGTTGTTATTATCAATATTTGTTGTATTGTATTCCTGATGATTATAATTATTGTTATCAATATTATTTGTTGTATTGTATACCTATTAAGAATAATAATAATAATAATAATACAACTTCAAACTTAACAATACAGAATAAAAAAAAAAAAATATAATAAAACAAAAACAATACTATTACTACAAACATAATACAGTATAATAAAACAAAAATACATCCTGATGATGATAATAATAATAGAATTATTGTTGTTATCGTTATCAATATTTGTTGTATTGTATTCCTGATGATAATAATAATATAATTTTTATCAATATTTGTTGTATTGTATTCCTGATGATTATAATAATAATAATAATAATAATAATAATAATAATAAAACAACTTCAAACTTAAAAATACAGAATAAAAAAAAAAAAATATATATATATAATAAAACAAAAAAAAACAATACTATTACTACAAACATAACACAGTATAATAAAACAAAAATACAAACATAATACAACACATTTAATAATAATCTTTGCACTGTATATATTACTCAAAGAGAAGTATTAAAAATGTAAAGAATATATATAACTCAACACATCGGGATACAATTGTGTTGTACAGGTTATGAGCGACTACTTTTTATAACGGTTAGCAGCTCTGCGGGTGTAATTTGCTGCCATGAGCAATTGTTATATTTTACTTCCTCCGGCTGTTAAAAGCACAGCATGTTGTAAAGGACATACCGCCTCCTAGATCTTCTGTGCTGAGAATGTACACATCACACATCATCATATATCATGGATTGGACGTCATGGATCGGACGTCACGGATCGGACGTCATGGGTCGGACATGAAGGCTTCCCATCAAGGAGTATGGCTGAGACGGACGCTCCAGACTGGAAGCCTACCTTGCCCACCTATCTAATCTTCCCATAATCCGGCACCTCTCTTGGTGTCAGGCTCTGGGTGACCTAACGACACCCACTTCTCTGCTGCCACCGTCCAATCCGCCCCACCCGCCCGGACAAGAGAACGTCTGTCATTCAATGTCATGTCCTCACAGCATTGAAATAAAAAGGAATATTTTGCTGGTTAATCAGTAATCACAAAAGGGGATGGGTGAGTTAAAATGTAATTGGGAAAAACCATCTCCTCCAGCGCCGGATGTGCGAGCTCCTAGCCAGGTGCCAGGCATGACTACGTGACCAGGGCTGAAGGAGGATACTGGAAGCCTGAGCCAAAGAGCTCACGCTTCAATTTGAAAACAACGGCATAAAATATAAACTGTAACTGGAAGCAGTGAAGACGGTGACTTCCCGTGTAGATGAGGTTTAATCCCAACCCTGCCCTTTGCCTGTCATACATGTACACACCCAGAGCTTTGCTGCATGTATGTGAACAATGGGGAGCTTCAGCTGCTGCCAATAACAGTCTCTGTACCGGATCCACGGAACACGGAAAGGCTTTCTGCGGAGAAATTCGTTATTAAAAGTGAAATTTGTAAATAAGAAATTAAAAAAGTGTACGCCGATCAGTCATGACATTGTGGCCACCCACTAAATATTGAGTACGTCCCCCTTCTGCCGGCAAAACAGCCCTGACCTGTTGAGGCGTGGGCGCCAAAGTGACATCCACATGAATGGCGGGAGCCGAGGTATCCCAGAACATTGCCCAAAGCATCACACTGCCTCCGCCGGCTCATCATCTTCCCATAATGCATCCTGGGGGGATCCCTTCCTCAGGTAGGTGACACGCACCCACCCCGCCATCCACATGATGTAAGAGAAAATGTCATTCATCAGACCAGGCCACCTTCTTCCATGGCTCTGTGGTCCAGTTAGGATGCTCGTGTGCCCATTGTAGGTGCTTTTGGCTGTGGACATGGGTCAGCATGGGCACCCTGAGCAGTCTGCGGCTACACAACCCCCGAAGCTCTGTGTGTTCTGACACCTATCAGAACCAGCATTCGCTTTTTCAGAAATTGGAGCTCCAGTAGCTCTTCTATTGAATCGGACTACACAGGCCAGCCTTCCCTCCCCTACCTCCATCAATGATCCTTTCCTCTCTACCTCCATCAATGATCCTTTCCTCTCCACCTCCATCAATGATCCCCAGCTCCTTTCCCTCCCCACCTCCACCAATGAGCCGTCCCTCCCCAGCTCCACCAATGAGCCGTCCCTCCCCCTCCACCAATCAGCCGTCCCTCCCCAGCTCCACCAATCAGCCGTCCCTCCCCAGCTCCACCAATCAGCCGTCCCTCCCCAGCTCCACCAATCAGCCGTCCCTCCCCAGCTCCACCAATCAGCCTTCCCTCCCCAGCTCCACCAATCAGCTGTCCCTCCCCACCTCCACCAATCAGCCGTCCCTCCCCACCTCCACCAATCAGCCTTCCCTCCCCACCTCCACCAATCAGCCTTCCCTCCCCACCTCCACCAATCAGCCTTCCCTCCCCACCTCCACCAATCAGCCTTCCCTCCCCACCTCCATCAATGAGCCTTGGCCACCCATGACCCTGTCGCAGGTTCATTGGTTTTCCTACTTTTGGTCGGTCCTGACCACTGTAGACTGGAAACATCGAACAAGAGCTGCTGTTTTGAAATTGCTTTGACCCAGTAATCTAGCCCAGTGGTCTCCAAGCTGCGGCCTAAAGGCCAGATGTGGCTCTTTGCTTGCCTTTGTCTAGCCCTTAAGGCACTATTCCTCCCACTGACACCATTGATGAGGCACTATTCCCCCCACTGACACCAACAACAAGGTACTATTCCCCCCACTGACACCAGTAATAGGGCACTATTTCCCCCACTGACACCAATAGGGCATTATTCCTCCCACTATATCCACTCTCTCCGGACCCCGCACTCACTATATCCGCTCTCCCCAGACCCCGCATTCACTGTATCCGCTCTCCCCGGACCCAACATTCACTGTATCCCGCTCTCCCCCGACCCCGCATTCACTGTATCTGCTCTCCCCGGACCCCGCATTCACTGTATCCGCTCTCCCCGGACCCCGCATTCACTGTATCCGCTCTCCCCGGACCCCGCATTCACTATATCCGCTCTCCCCGGACCCCGCATTCACTGTATCCGCTCTCCCCGGACCCCGCATTCACTGTATCCGCTCTCCCCGGACCCCGCATTCACTATATCCGCTCTCCCCGACCCCGCATTCACTGTATCCGCTCTCCCCGGACCCCGCATTCACTGTATCCGCTCTCCCCGGACCCCGCATTCACTGTATCCGCTCTCCCCGGACCCCGCATTCACTATATCCGCTCTCCCCGGACCCCGCATTCACTATATCCGCTCTCCCCGGACCCTGCATTCACTATATCCGCTCTCCCCGGACCCTGCATTCACTATATCCGCTCTCCCCGGACCCCGCATTCACTATATCCGCTCTCCCCGGACCCGCATTCACTATATCCGCTCTCCCCGAACCCCGCATTCACTATATCCGCTCCCCCCGGACCCCGCATTCACTATATCCGCTCTCCCCGGACCCCGCATTCACTATATCCGCTCTCCCCGGACCCCGCATTCACTATATCCGCTCTCCCCGGACCCCGCATTCACTATATCCGCTCTCCCCGGACCCCGCATTCACTATATCCGCTCTCCCCGGACCCCGCATTCACTATATCCGCTCTCCCCGGACCCCGCATTCACTATATCCGCTCTCCCCGGACCCTGCATTCACTATATCTGATCTCCCCGGACCCCACATTCACTATATCTGATCTCTCCGGACCCCGCATTCACTATATCCGCTCTCCCCGGACCCCGCATTCACTATATCCGCTCTCCCCGGACCCCGCATTCACTATATCCGCTCTCCCAGGATCCTGCATTCACTATATCTGATCTCCCCGGACCCCGCATTCACTATATCCGCTCTCCCCGGACCCCGCATTCACTATATCCGCTCTCCCCGGACCCCGCATTCACTATATCCGCTCTCCCCGGACCCCGCATTCACTATATCCGCTCTCTTCTTGCATGACTTTTTCTCCAGTTCTATCTGCTCCAAAAACGCTCAAACTTTAAAAATCAATTGTCCTCTATGGTGCCTGTTCACAGCTGATCGCACTAACAGGCACCACAGAGAACGATTTTGTTAAGTTTGAACGTTTTTGGAGCTTCGAGCAAAAGTGTGAATGCAGCCTAAGTTGCAATTTCCCTCCCATCATGGAAATCGCTCTGAAAATTGCAAGAAATCATTAAAAATCTTCTCAAGTCGCCATAAAGTCTTCAGAAATCGTGCTGCGAGCAGCCGTCACATCGGAGGTACAAACCGCACCGATCTGCGGCTTTGAAATCGCGCTACTTGAAGTATTGCAATTTCAAAGTCGCATTCAGCGCGAACCGGGGCCGATTCATCCATAAAAATCGCACCAAAATGAAACGTTTAAGTGAGAAACTTTCAGATGTAAAAGCAATCAGCCATAACATTATGACCACCCAGCGAACATGGCGTAGGAAAGTCAGAATCGCATTGTCCGCACTCACCCGGGCAGCGCGGGGAGGAACTGCGCTTTAGTCTTCCATCCTGGTCGTCAGCCGCACTTTGATATCAGCGATCTGGCACCGACTTCGCCTTTTCCCTCCTTCACTCCTCCTCACATGCTTCACATTCTGTCTGTTGCCCCAAACACCCCGAACTCGTCAGACTGGTTTGCAGGCTTTGTAGCAACCGAAGTCAACTGGGTGCCCCGTGGTGACAACCCTGCGTGACTCAATGCAGCACAAAGCGCACAATCGCAGCGCACTCGGCCTTTCCAGAGCAAAAAAAAAAAAAAAAAAGGTCGATGTCCCGGCAATGATATCCCTGCAGGAAAACATCGAATTCTTCCATCAGAAACAAAAGAAATAAAAAGTTACAATGTTGCAGCTTACCAATCCTCACAGTGCCCGATCGTACCTGGCTGCGACCAGGGGCGGACTGACAACGCATGGGCCCCCGGGCAATAGGGGATCATGGGGCCCCTGTGTCCTCGCCCACACTCAAAGGACACCCAAAAAAACCTATAAAAAAGGTACCAGGGACATTTTGTGGGGCCCCCTACTGACCCCGGGCCCTCAAGCAGTGCCCGAGTTTCCAAATGGTCAGTCCGCCCCTGGCTGTGCAAGTTGCACCCTATTGTCCGCAATCAACGCCGTCGTATCCGCGCGATTTTCCGGCTTGGTCGGAGCCGCACCAACTTCTAAAGTTGCGCATTCACGACTTCCGGTGGGAGCCGGAATGATATCTGACTTTGAAATCGTGCAACTTCACTGGAAGTCGCACGATTTCAAATTCGGATCGGTGTGACCGGGGACCTCAGTGGTAATAAACCCAAAAGAAAACATTTATTATATCGCAGATTACCGATTCTTAGATGTGGGGGCCGCATTCATTTTCTTTTTTTAGGCTCTTTTTCCTCTTTTTCATCTGGTGTTCCTCCCACTGACACCAATGATGGGACACTATTCTTCCCACTGATACCAATGATGGAGCACTATTCCTCCCACTGACACCAATGATTGGGGCACTATTCCTCCCACTGACACCAATGATGGGACACTATTCCTCCCACTGACACCAATGATGGGGCACTATTCCTCCCACTGATACCAATGATGGGGCACTATTCCTCCCACTGACACCAATGATGGGGCACTATTCCTCCCACTGACACCAATGATGGGGCACTATTCCTCCCACTGACACCAATGATGGGGCACTATTCCTCCCACTGACACCAATGATGGGGCACTATGATGGGGCCTCCTCCCACTGACACCAATGTTGGGGCACTATTCCTCCCACTGACACCAATGTTGGGGCACTATTCCTCCCACTGACACCAACGATGGGGCACTATTCCTGCCACTGACACCAACGATGGGGCACTATTCCTGCCACTGACACCAATGATGGGGCACTATTCCTCCCACTGACACCAATGATGGGACACTATTCCTCCCACTGATACCAATGATGGGGCACTATTCCTCCCAATGACACCAATGATGGGGCACTATTCTTCCCACTGACACCAATGATGGGGCACTATTCCTCCCACTGATACCAATGATGGGACACTATTCCTGCCACTGACACAAATGATGGGGCACTATTCCTCCCACTGATACCAATGATGGGACACTATTCCTGCCACTGACACCAATGATGGAGCACTATTCCTCTCACTTACACCAATGATGGGGCACTATTCCCCCCACTGACAGCAATGATGGGGCACTATTCCTCCCACTGACACCAATGATGGGGCACTATTCCTCCCACTGATACCAATGATGGGGTACTATTCCTCCCACTGACACCAAAGATGGGGCACTATTCCTCCCACTGACACCAATGATGGGGCACTATTCCTCCCACTGACACCAATGATGGGGCACTATTCCTCCCACTGACACCAATGATGGGGCACTATTCCTCCCACTGACACCAATTATGGGGCACTATTCCTCCCACTGACACCAATGATGGGGCACTATTCCTCCCACTGATACCAATGATGGGGCACTATTCCCCCCACTGACACCAATGATGGGGCACTATTCCTCCCACTGACACCAATGATGGGGCACTATTCCTCCCACTGATACCAATGATGGGGTACTATTCCTCCCACTGACACCAATGATGGGGCACTATTCCTCCCACTGACACCAATGATGGGGCACTATTCCTCCCACTGACACCAATGATGGGGCACTATTCCTCCCACTGACACCAATGATGGGGCACTATTCCTCCCACTGACACCAATTATGGGGCACTATTTCCTCCCACTGACACCAAAAGCAAACATTAAATTGCAGCTTACCGACTTTAGATTTGGTGGCTGCATTCAATTTCTTTTTTAGTCTTTTTCTTTCCTCTATTTTCATCTGGTGATCCAGCCAGTAAGTCTGTTGTTTTTCAAAAGAACACACTCTCTTGCGGATGTAGCAGTTACAGATCACTGACAGGGGCGCTTACAATGATCAACTTTATGTAAAGCCTTTACTCCAAAAGTAACAAAAAAACTGTTCACTGTAATGGATTATAAGCTGTGAGCTGGAGTTTGGTGTCCCTGCGTTAGTGTATCTAAATCTGCTAGTCCATCTAACACTCCCCTCCAGGCTGAGAATGCTGAATGCTGCTGCCTCCTGTGCTTTTTCATCCAGAGTGGGGGCGCTGTAACACAGGAGGTGTGTCACTGGTCAGATCAGTGAATGAAAACAGAGGGGGAAAAAAAAATAAAAATAATAACGAATGCAGCCGCCACATCTAATGATTGGTAAACTGCGATATACTGCAGGAGAGTTTTGGTTTGGGGTTTATTATCACTTTAAATGTGGTGGCTGCATTAGTTTTAATTTTTATAGGGTTTATTTTTTCCCTTTATTTTCACCTGGTGACCCCGGCAGAAGCAGACTTCCTGTTCTATGTCGGCCATAGATGGGTCCAAAAATCGGTCGAAAAAAAATAATCAGCCAATTTTCGCACCATTAGTGGGTTAATTGGTCGGCTGTTCTTCGGGGCTTTGGCACATTTTTTATTGGTCAAGTTGGAAAATTCACGGCCGATTTTCCCGGCAATGATGGGCAAATCGGGAAGAGGAAGAGGGAGGAGGAAGAGGGGGAGGAGGAAGAAGGAGGAGGAAGGAAGAAGGGGGAAGGAAGAGGAAGAGGAAGAGGAGGAGGAAGGAAGGAGGAGGAGGAAGAAGGAAGGAAGAAGGAAGAAGGAAGAGGAAGAAGAAGAAGGAAGAAGGGAAGAAGGAAAGAAGGAAAGAGGAAAGAGGAAAGAGGAAAAGGAAAGGAAAGAGGAAAAAGAGGAAAGAGGAAAGAGGAAAGAGGAAAGGAGGGAGGAGGAAAGAGGAAAGAGGAAGAGGAAGAGGAAAGAGGAAGAGGAAGGAGGAAGAGAGGAAAGAGGAAAGAAAAGGAGGGAGAGGGAGGAGGAAGAGGAGGAAGAGGAGGAAGAGGAGGAAGAGGAGGAAGAGGAGAAGAAGAAGAAGAAGAAGAAGAAAGGAAGAAGAGGAAGGAAGAAGAAGAGGAGAAGAGGAGAAGAAGAAAGGAGGAGGAGGGAGGAGGAGGAAGAAGAAAGGAGGAGGAGGAAGAGGAGGAGGAAGAAGAAGGAGGAGGAAGAAGAAAAGAAGGAGGAGAAAGAAGAAGGAGGAAGAAGAAGAAGAAGGAGGAAGAAGAAGGAGGAGAGGAGAAGAAGAAGAGAGGAGGAGGAAGAAGAGGAGGAGGAAGAAGAGGAAGAAGAGGAGGAGGAAGAAAAAGAGGAGGAAGAGGGAGGAGGAAGAAAAAAGAGGAGGAAGAACAATGTATCTATTTGTATCTGAATAAAAACATCTGTATCTGAAAAGGATACAAATGGATACATTGTTGCAACCGTA